AATTCTTCTAGATATCTTAATTTTGAGACAGCTGTTAGAAACCTAATAGGAGATACTGACTATAGAGTTAGAGATACAAGATTGAACCTCAGAGTGAATACTGAGGGAGAGATTTAATTTTGGAAATCATAGAAATGCATGAGGTTCCCTAAGGAAAAAATATGTAGGGAATACTGTAGAAAATCTTATTTAAATATTATGGCAATTTTATATCTAGCTTTCCACTGCTTGCTCCTTTTATCTATTTTTGTAGTCTTAATACAGTCCTTAGGATTTCCAGGAAAGCACTGAGTTAAAGTGGTTTTGATAAGCATCCCTGTTTGTACCTAATCTTAAAGGCAGACTTTCAATAAATGGTCATTAAATATTCTTTTTTTTACCTCTAGGTTACTGTGCAGATGATTTTCCTTAAGTTAAGGTATATTTTCTTCGTAGCTTTCTAACACTTTTGCTTTCTTTCTTTTCCTTTTTTTTCAGATTGTAAATGGATACTAAATTCTCTCTCAAAAGCTTTTTTTGTATCCATTAAATTTTATTTTTCCTTTGACATGATGATCTATTTCTGGAATAACTTCAATTTGGTGATGATATATTATTTTTTAAACTACATTACTTTGATAATTTTGCCAACATATTTTAGATAATTTTTCAACTATGTTAATCAATTAAATTGGTTTCTAATCATTTCTCATGTTATCCTCAATAAGTTTTGTATCATGACTAGGTCAGCCTCATAAAAGGAGTTGGGAAAAGATCTTTCTTTTTCTACTCTCTGGAAAATATGTGCAAACTGAGAACTATGTGCTTTTTGAATGTCTATAATAAGCTGTAAGACATCATGAGAAATGCTCAATCACTTTTCCTGGAAATAAAGGTAATATAGATTTGTTAGGAAGATGAGAAATAGGTACGCAAGATTCATGAAAATCATCAATTTGATAGGTACCAATTACTAGTGGCTGATGTTCTTTTGAGTATTTTTTTAATTATAATAACCCTATGAGATAGTTTCTCTTATCATCCACACTTTATATATCAAAGATCTCAAGCTGAGAGAAATTAAGAAGCCCAAGGTCATGTAGTTACTATACAGTAGAATTGAAATTTGACTGAGGATAGTCTCATTCCAGGATTTGCACTATCAAACTCTTTACTTTGACAAATTTATCATAAAAAGGAAAATCGCTGAAAGTAAATTTTTCTATGAGCCAGTTTGAGTTTATTTTCTTCTTAGGAAATCTGTGGTGATTAAAATAATCAAATTATCTATGAAGCATATTTTTATGTTATTGAATCTCATTAAGACTTGTAGTGGTTTATATTCACAAATCCTGTATCATAGCCATTATTCTACCGAAGATATTTTCTATCTCCAGACTTACTATTTTTACTTTTCTCTCTCAGTAAAATAGGTTAAGAACACATCTTTTCTGCTGCTAAAATCATGCCCATATAGACATCTTTCCTATAACTCTCATCAAAGTGTAGATTATTTTAATAATAATCAATAATATAATAATTCATTCAAATAATATTGCAACAACTCAACAGTTTAATGAGTATAGTCATTTTGTTCAGAAGAAAAGGATCCATATATGATATGACTGATAGATGTGCATCAAGTAGTAGCTGCTAGATCACTATATTATTTTTACTTTTTAATATTTGATATACTCATAACTCAAATTTTGAGGTTTCTTCTTTTCATCTTTTAAAACCATGGATTTATTTTTTAAAAAAATATAAATTATAGTCATGGTAGTAGTTCCACAATTTAGCATGTATGAAGAGGCACAGAAATAAAATGATCTCATTTTATATCCTGTATAATTGGAATTGTACTATTTAACACTCATGAGAATGCAAAGACAAAAATATTGTGAATATTATCAAATGAATATTGGTTTAAGATCAAAGCAATTATTATTTTGTTACAAATGATATTAGATATCTATTGCCAAGTAATAGATAACTACAAACAAAACTCATTAACTTTGAGCAACCAATACTTTTATTTCTCAAAATTCTGTAGGTCAGCATGACTCTCTGGGTTGACTATGGGTAAGTTGGGAGCTAGAGAGGTGGGGAGCCTGGGATGGATAAGCGTCACTTCCCATGTGATTTTCATCCTTAGGGAGGCTAAGCTGGGATTCTTTTTTTTTTCCTTATGATTTTACTTATTTATTTGAGGGATTGAGCCAACAGTGGGGAAGGGCAAAGAGAGAGAGAGAAAGAAGCAGACTCCTTACTGAGCAGAAAGCCCAACCTATGCCTCGATGCCAGGACACGGAGATCATGACCTGAACGAAAGGCAGATGCTTAACTGACTGAGCCACCCAGGCACCCCTGAATTGGGATTCCTTACATGCAGTTCTCTAGGTAGTTTTCCAGTGAAGGGAAACCAGAAGCATAGATTTTTAAGACTTAGCCTCTGAAGTCATACAGTGTAACTTTTGTCACATTCTGGTCACAGTCACAAGACCAGCCTGTATTCAAGGGGTAGAGAACTACATTTCACCTCTTCATGGAATAAACTGCAAGATCCCATCTACACTGGACAGACACAGGGAACGTGGTTCATTGAAGACCATTATTTTAACAATCTACCATGCAAACTAAGTGCCAGCTTGATATACTGTCTTTTGAAAAGTAAAGTCTGTAATCTTTTAACCTCAGGCTGAGATGAGAAATATATTATATTGGTTTAAGAGTCTCATAGATCACTCCAAACTGTTTTATGACATTTTAATGAAAGTAGGATGCTTTTACTTTTTATAATATAAAAAAAAAACAGTTCTTCTGAGATGTTGTAATCTCAACCTAAAAGAAGACAGATGTCATTAAAAGGAATTTCAGCAGGTGTCATAAATAAGAAATATTGTGACAAACTATCAGGATAGAACTTTTAATTATCACATTCATTTCAATGGACTTATCAAAATAATGGCAAGATAAGAATATGAAAGAGAATTAATGTAAATAGTCTTTGTAATTATTTATTTGTAAAGGTGGAATATTCCCGTGAATTTGATCTATCTGTTGTAAACCTATCTAGTGCCTGTGAAGAAGGGGAAAGAATTAAAGTCTATTCTGAATCTTAGTTATAACACATTCAAAATTATAAATTGTCTTCCCAAACTACATATTGTTTTAGGATCCACATCTGATATCCATTTATTGAGCACCTAATATGTTTCAGATATTATTTCCTTACTGATAATCTTAACCAAAGAAATAGAGACCTCATACATACAATAACATAAATTAACAAAAGAGAAAAATAAGGTTCAGAATACTAATTTGGCTATCTAAATCTTAAGTGGTGACACTCAAATTTAAATTCACATTTTTAGGACTTAAGTCATTGCTGCCTTCCTTAAAATAATTTCATATTAAGTCATTATCAGGCATGATAAAAATTTTACAATAATATTCCTTTTAGGGGTGCCTGGGTGGCTCAGGGGGTTAAGCCTCTGCCTTCGGCTCAGGTCATGATCTTGGGGTCCTGGGATCAAGCCCCGCATCAGGCTCTCTGCTCGGCGGGGAGCCCACTTCCCTTCTCTCTCTGCCTGCCTCTCTGCCTACTTGTGATCTCACTCTCTGTTAAATAAATACAAATCTTTAAAAAAATATTCCTTTTACTAAATAATAATAAAAAGAAGGCAGCTCAGTTGCAAAAGTCTTTTAGATAAACAACTGGCATTTCTTGAATGCTAATTACATATGTAACAGGTAGTAGATGTAGAATTTACATGCATTTTCCAATAAATTTCACAAAGCCCTTTACAAAGAAGGTGCTTTTATTTTTACTTTCAGTTTAGGGAACAGGTTTTTTTAAAAACAAAACAAAATCATAGCACCATCATCACAAATCATTTAAATCAGTATTTGTACTTAAACTTTCAAACAGATACTAAAATGCAGCCACAGTTAAGAGTCATTGCTTTGTTTGCCATACATTTTTAGTAAACTGATGTCATTAAAATCAAGAGTAAAAGATAAAAAACAGCAAACTAAATTGCAAAAATTTCATGGTTTTCTTGATATTTAGAAATTTCTTAGTGTTCATAATTTTTCATTTAAATATCACATACGAAAGGTAAGCATTTTACGATATATAAACACAGATGAAGAAATACATTTGTTAACACATAGTTAAAATGATTTGCATTTTAATGATGTTTGCAGCTTTAAATTATTAAGGTGAAATGTTAAAAAAAAAAAAAAGGATGTCATTTTTTTCAATGTATATAAACTACTTCCTGGATCAAAATTAGTTCCTATGGAAACATTTAAGAAAAAAATAAAGTATGATCTTACTGTTCAATTTCTTAACAGTTTAAAGTATATGAAACGACAGTTTAAAGTATATGAAATAAAGTCATATGAAATGACTTTAAAAAACTCACATGTATGTTTTTCTTGAAATGTTTTCAAAACCTATATTATCTCCAAATAAATCTTCAAATAAATTTATTATCTCCAAATAAATACATTTTAATACACCTGAATATATTTTAACATTACAATATATTTTAATTTTACTCTAATGCATGGTAAGCTTACAAATGTATTAAGTAATCTATAACAAAGCACCATCTATCCATAACAAAGAGCGGTAGATACTACTTATAACAAAGCACTACCTATTTATGTGTAAACATAGTATAAATTAATGGCTGCAACATTCAAGACCTGTGTTTATATTATGGATAAAACTGTAAGTGCTAATCTATTTATAGTCTTACCAAGGTGTCCAGTAAATTCAATTGATTAAATCACCAAATTATAAAAAAAGAAAAAAATTTTCACTCCCAAAAAATTACCTGGACATTTTTAAAGTAAATAAATTTTCTCATAACAAGTAGATGACAAAAAGAAATCCTTCTATTCTATGCAATCAGGAATATATATATTAAGTTGCCACTAATTTCAGAGATATAACTCTTACTATCACAGTTGGAGGAAATTCAAAGTATCTCAGTTGAGACTAAACTTACCAGCAAATTTGATATGGAATTTATTTTCAGGCTTTAATATCTGGACATACAAAGGACAATTTGGAGCAAAATCTTTTACAGCCCATGCTCTCAAAATTGTTTGGTGGTCCTGAAATGATAAATATCAGAAGATCATGAAATAAATTGAAAAATGTGTAATATATCAAGTAAAAATCTCCAGTTGGTGTGTTAAATGGTCACATCTACAGTTTAAAATTAAACATACAAAATAACGAATTACAAGGACTTATTTTTAAAGATTCTTATTATTTCTGTAAAGAAGAGTAACAATACCTAATTCAATCAGTGTGAATTACCAGCACTTAGAAAATTAGCAGAGATTAAGAGGAAAATTTCTTGACAAGCTTAGAAGTAATTTTCTTAGAAATAATTGAGGGGCAGAGGCTTCAGAAATACAGCCCAACTAATAGTCTGTTAACAGTTTCCATGGAAAAAAAAATGCAGATTTATAACAATTTTAACATGCTTAGGAAGCTTGGCAAAAGAAGAATGACTATAGTGACCATGCATGTAAAAAAACACCATTTTATTTATTTATTTATTTTTGTAAAGCAGTAAAAGTAAAAGGATTTTTGACTCTATGGGTGTGTGTGTGTGTGTGTGTGTGTGTGTGTGTTGGAAGAGATCAGTAACTTTCAGATACAAAAAAAAAGTTTTAAAAAAGCTTCTAAGACTGAGAAAAGGAATAAAAAACATGCTTACCATTAATGTTACACAAAGTGTGACCCCATAAATTATCATTTAATTAGCTAAGTATATCAAAGCAAATTATCTGAGAAATGCGTCAGTTAGCCAATATATTTTGAAAAAGGAAACAAAATCATGTTCAAGGGTACGCTGTCCATATAGTAGTCATTAGCCACACGCGGCTGTATAAATTTAAGTTAAGTAAAGTTAAGAATTCCATTTCCCTATCAGATGAGCCACATTTCCAGTGCTCAAAGCTGTCTGTGGCTTATTCAAAACTATATGGAACACTGCAGAGTTAAGCATCTGCATCATCACAGAAAGTTCTATTTGACAATGTTAGGGAAAGAAAAGGATAAGTAAAAATACAAGTAGATATGAGAGATTGTTTACAGAAATGCAGAAAGAAGCTGCTGTCAGTGGTTGGTATGAAAGTTGATGAAGTGTACTCAGAATTCCTTAACTAGATAAGTGGACAATGTGTGTCTTGCAGGAAAACTCTCAAAACATGACGATGAACCTGATACACTGAGATAGTTAATTTTATGTGTCAACTTGGCTGGGCCATGAGGTGCCCAGGTATTTGGTTAAACATTATTCTGGATGAGTAGGAAATCCCAGAAAAGGGAGGGGCGGAGAAGAGAAGTCACAAATTCTGTGTATAAATTTATATGACATCAGCACACCTCTAAACCACACATGCATGAGACAGAATAAGAGCAATCTCAAGGGAGATTTGAATCACTGCCAACTACTAGGGTGATAGAGTTTGCATTCAAGTGAACTAAATTAACTGCCTGCCGAAATAAGAATGTCAACACTCTTTGGAGAAATATAAGAAAGACCCAGGCTTCAGAACACAATATAATAACCAGAATACATTGCAAAATTATTCAGTATATGAAGTGCCAGAAAAATGTGACCTATTTGTTAATTTCATGGGGAAAAAAGACAAACTAAGTCCAATAAACATTAGCCTTTAGATGATCTAGATGTTTGAATTATCAGACTAGGGTTTTAAAAAAGTGAATAAAAGTATCATCACTGAGGAAAAGCAAATATGGTCATAATAAATAGAAAAAACTCAGTAAAGGAATGGGAAATATTTTTAAAATTAAACAAAAAGCTCAAATATCAGCAAAACATATTCACTGGATGGTCTGTGATGTAGAATGGGGATGACATAGGAAAGTCAGTGAACTTGACCATAGATCAACAGAATTTATTGAATTTGAAAAACAAAGAGAAGAGGGATGGAAAAGGAACAGAGTTCAGGGACTTGTGCAACAATGTAAAAATGTCTTATATAATGTAATTGGATTTCCAGGAAGAACACAAAAGAGAAAATAGAACAGAAAACGATTTGAAGAAATAGTGGCTGGAAACTTACCAATTATGTTAAAGGCATAATTTTCCATATTCAAGGAGCTTAGAGAATCCCAAAACACATAAACAACAACAACAAAAAAAAATTTACCACATGCAAGCACTCTGTAGTCTAATTATTCAAAACCAATGGTAAAGATAATATTTTGAAAGCAGCCAAAGAAAAACAGTTGTATGGCCAAGAATTCTCATCAGAAACCATGGAAACCAGGGGACAGGGAAACAATATCCTAAACTCCAGAACAAAGAGGGGGAAAAAACTATTAAGTCATCATTTCATAGAGAAAAGTCCTTCAAAGAGATGAAAAAAAGGACTTTTTCAATTATTGCTAAGAAAACGTGTTGTCATCAGAATCATACTATAAGAAAATTATAGTCTTACACTGTTGGTGTGAATGCAATTTGGTGCAGCCACTTTGGAGAACAGTGTGGAGATTCCTCAAAAAATTAAAAATAGAGCTTCCCTATGACCCTGCAATTGCACTACTGGGTATTTACCCCAAAGATACAGATGTAGGGAAAAGAAGGGCCATCTGTACCCCAATGTTTATAGCAGCAATGGCCACAGTTGCCAAACTGTGGAAAGAACCAAGATGCCCTTCAATGGACGAATGGATAAGGAAGATGTGGTCCATATACACTATGGAGTATTATGCCTCCATCAGAAAGGATGAATACCCAACTTTTGTAGCAACATGGATGGGACTGGAAGAGATTATGCTGAGTGAAATAAGTCAAGCAGAGAGAGTCAATTATCATATGGTTTCACTTATTTGTGGAGCCTAACAAATAGCATGGAGGACAAGGGGAGTTGGAGAGGAGAAGGGAGTTGGGGGAAATTGGAAGGGGAGGTGAACCATGAGAGACTATGGACTCTGAAAAACAATCTGAGGGGTTTGAAGCAGCGGGGGGTGGGAGATTGGGAGAACCAGGTGGTGGGTATTGGAGAGGGCACGGATTACATGGAGCACTGGGTGTGGTGCAAAAACAAGGAATACTGTTATGCTGAAAAAAAAAAAATTAAAAAAAAAAGAAAAGAAAATTATAAGAAATGTCCTTATGCTGAAGGGATATAATACCAGAGGCAAAGTTAGAACTTCAGATATCAAAGGAGAGTATCAGAAATGAGTAATATCTGAGAGAACAAAGATACATTTTTTCTTTAAAATATATATACCTTTACAAAGGAAAATTTATAGTATCATCTTGCAGAATTTGATATTTATAAAAATAATAGTAGAATAAGTACAAAGTTTCTAACTTCAATAAATTCTGCAATTGTAAAAAATAAGTAAATTGTACAATATTAACATGAAGCAGACCGTGAAGAGTTAAGCCTGAGTAGTGTAGTCCCTTGAGTAGTCACTAAAAAAATTTCAAAAGATAATTTCTAAAAAGCCAATAGGCATATTAAACTTGAATTGCTCAAAAAAATCAAATAATAAAAAAAGTAAAAAAGAGAAAACAGAGGAACATGAATTTGTAGGGAGACACAGGAAACAATTTCCTACATCCAATTATATAAATGATGGTACTAAATGTTAATGAACTGAACATATTAAAATATAAAGAAAATTAGAAAAACAAAACTAAGATCCAACCATAAGCAATTTAGGAGAGAGGGCAACTGGACGGCTGGGTCAGTTAAGCATCCAACTCTTGATTTCAGCTCAGGTCATGATCTCAGGGTTGTGGGATCAAGTCCTGAGTCAGGCTTCACACTCACTGTGGAGTCTGCTTGAGATTCTCTCTCTTCCTCTCGCTCTGCCCCTCCTCCTGTTCTTTCTCAAATAAATAAATAAAATCTTTAAAAAAAATAAAATGGGGTACCTGGGTGGCTCAGTTGGTTAAGCATCTGCCTTCCATCAAAGGTCATGATCTTGGCGTCCTGGGATCAAGCCCCACATAGGGTTCCCTGTTCATTGGGAAGTCTGCTTCTCCCTCTCCCTCTGCCCCTACCTCTCTCTCTCTCTGTCTCTATCTCTCACTCTGTCTCAAATAAATAAATAAAATCTTTAAAAATAAATAAATAAAATAAAATAATGTTACTGATAAAAGAAGTGATAATAAGGGGGGAAAAAAAAACCTTCAATTTGAAAATAAACAAAAGATCTAAACAGACACCTCACCAAAGAAGATACACAGGTGACAGATAAGCATATGAAAAGATGATTAACACCATATGTCAACAGAGAATTGCAAACTAAAATGACAATGAAATACCACCACACAATTATTTGAATGACTAAAATCCCAAATACTGATGACACCAAATACTAGTGACGATGTGGGACAGTAGAAAGTGTCATTCACTGTTGGTGGGGATGCAAAATCATTCAGCAGCTTTGGAAGACAGTCTACAGTTTCTTATAAAACAAAACATACCCTTACTGTATAATCCAGCAATTGTGCTCCTTGGTATTTACCCAAATGATTTATCTACCCAAAACCTGCACTTGAAAGTTCATAGCAACCTTATTCATAATTGCAAAAACTTGGAAGTAACCAAGATGTCCTTCAATAGATGAATGGATAAAACAAACAGGTATATCCAGATAATAGAATATTATTCAACAGTAAAGAGAAATGAGCTCTTCAGCCATGAAAAGACATGGCGGAAATTCAAATGCATATTGCTAAATGAAAGAGCTCTGACTTAGGCTGCATACTGAGGCACCTGGGTGGCAGAGCCCATTAAGCATCTCTTAGCTTCAATTCAGGTTGTGATCTCAGGGTCATGAGATGGAATGCCAAGTGAGTCTTTGCACTCAGCACAGAGTCTGCCTAAGACTCTCTTACCCTCTCCCTCTGCCCCTCCCAGAACACACACACACACTCTCTCTCTCAAATAAATGAATAAAATCTTAAAAAAAAAAAAAAAAAAAGGGCTGAATACCTTAGAAAGCATAAAAAGATCAGTGGTTGTTAAGGGGCTTGTCATGGGGGAGAGTGTAAGAAGTTATAATGGATAGATGGAGTACAGAGGATTTTTAAGCAGTGAAAGTATTCTGTAGG